ACGAGTTCAGATAATTGCGTAAGATCTGCAAAATCAGAATGCATAGTGGTCAAGAAGTATATAAGAGTTTTGGGACTGGGAGTGGCAAATAAGTTTGAAAAAATTGAAGTTGAAGAGTCGTGCTTTTGGTGTCTTACTACTAAGGCAAATTTGAGTGTGATGAAATTGTCTGTACTGACAAAATTATTAGGAATACCAATAACAGAATCTACCAACCATATATACAGGATATCCCAGTGAGAGTATGACATAGAACAACTGAAAATTTTGTATTTTTAAAACGAAACATGTTTCGGTAAAATGTTACTCGTTTGAAAATTCAAAAATTATTAATGGCTCTAATTTTTTATTCAGTATAATTTTACTAAGTTTGGTAATCGCTTTTAATGTCATAAGATACACCTATCAGCAAAAAAAATCATTTAAATAATCTTTGCCAGTGGTGTACGACCTTTATCCCTTCTAAATTTTACATCACTGCCCAAAACTTATTTTAAACATGAAGTTTTTTAAATAAATCATGTACCTATTTTTGTTGGAAACTTATAGATTGATTGATATTCGAGATATTCGCACTCATTGGTGGATACTCTAAAGGTGGGTACTCTTTATTTTAATTAGTTATTTTGAAATCCAATAAAACTAAAGTTTTTAACAATAAAAATATATCGTATATAATTCTACAATAATGTAAAAAATTAAACTTACACATGTTTGTTTGAACCCTTACAGATTTTGGGGTACATTTTTCTTGTTTGATGTCAATGGTATTGAGTCATTCTTGGGAGTCAATATTTTCTTTACACTATCATTAAAAATTAAAAACACTTGCCAGTTTAGAATTGATTTATAGATACCAGTTGTGGATAAAGTGATATCCATTAGTGTTTGACTGCGAGAGTTTAAAAATGTTGGTGTGGTACCTTTAATTAAAATACAAAGATTTTTGGTAAATATATAATCATAAAGTGACTTACCTCTAGCGTTGTTATCCTTACTGCCCCAACTGAAGTAAACTTCTGTTCCAGGCAGTACTCAATCAGATCCTCAATCTCTTTGTTGCATATTCAATATGATATATAACTGCATCACTACCAATATCTGTAAGTGCTTTAATTTTACATCTCATTAACCCAACTATCACCCATTATTTGGACAACTTTAAGTAAATACATACCTAATTGTAATATATGAAGAAAAACCTTAATCAATATAATATATCTTATCTTTGTTGCAAGGTATTTGTCCAGACAAAGTAAGCTAAGATCTATGATTGATTTCAACATATTTTAATCAGTTTGTGCCTCTATGTGATTTATAAAATGAGTGAAATTCAGAATTAACGAAAAAACCAGTGCTGAAAAATCTCGAAAGGATTATCGATATTTTTATCATATTTAATAGGGATGTGCTGTTGCTGCGGAAGAGCCAAAAAAAACATATGCGATTAGAGACTCCCTCTCTGTGGTAAAGAGGATGAAATGTGAAACGCAGAACGTTTTCACCCCATTTACGTTCGCATTTTGTCATTTTAGCAGAGCAACAACACTTATGAATGTGGATACGCGTCGCAATGGGACAATAAAAAGGGGGGACGAGAATTTAATCCCGACTATATTTCAATCTCATTTGTGCTCTCTCTTTAATGGATTTTTCTACACGGCTTTTTCGATTATTGCATTGAACGCTGAATAATTCCCTCAATGTGGCCACCTACACATTACACTTTTTTCCTTTTCGCGGATCACAATTCCGTAGAGTGAAAAAATATTTTTGGGTAATCTTCAGCGGCGCTTAAATAATTCAGAATGTGTATAAATGAGGGCATTATATTCGGGTTGTTGACGTTTTAAAATGACATAAAGGCTATTCAGAGTTTATGCACCATTAACAAGACGTGTGGTTTTCCTCAAAAGACTTTGTGTTTTGTTAGTAACGGACATCGAGTATACTTAAATCGTCTTGAATAAATGTGCTGAAAAAAACGTTATATATCTCGTTTTTTTTTTTTAATTGGCACTAGGATATATAAGGTGTGTATCTACCGATTTTTTTTATTAAGTTTTATACAATACTCTGCTGTTTCTAATTTGTGAGTGTCTCATTATGTTTTTATTGTCTCGGTTTTAGTGGTTTCATAAAGTTTCAATGGGACTATATTTGATATCGCCTTCAGGTAAAAATATCCCATTAAGTCGCGGTGTTTGGCATCTATCGGCGACTGTTGGGTGGTTGGGTTGTATATTTCTATGGTTGATTTTATGGCAATAAACCCCTTCGTTTTAGTGTTCCTTTACTCGTAGTATCACTTCCATTAATCGTCTAGTTTTCTTCACTCTGTATAGTTAACTCTAACCTTTAGAATTTTATCCAGTTTCTGATTGAGAACCTTATCGAAATTTTTTCAATAGCTAAGAATCCCAGAAATATTTTATTCCTCTCTTCTAATATGTTCTCTACTATTATTCTTATCCTTCTCTTAAATATCTGCGGAAAAAATCATGTTCAATATTGTGATGCCTCTATAATTGCCAGTTTCCACAATACTACTCATTTTCTTTTTTGAAAATTAGCACCGTTATTTTAGTCTATCCATTGGGAACTTATCGTCTTTCTTCATCTTATTACACGGATATTGTATTTTCCTGTGGTTTTACTGCTTTAATATTTTTATTATTTATTTTTCATGTTTTTCATATATTTTTAAACATCTTTGCTGTAATCTTAATCTTGTCACCTGATACCTGATTAATTTTTTACTAAAACTAAAAAGAATTGTGCTAATGACAGTGGATACCAATTCAACAAAAACCAAGACTTACCAAGTCTAATAAATACGTAATAACAAACATACATATTTCAAAATAGGTAAGAAATAACGAAATAACCCTCCACATGGGATTGATAGGTTTATGGTCATTTTTTAGGAATTGGTGGGCAATCTCTTCGAATGGACGGGTGCGTGGATCGTGAATCGCAATATTTGGGTTAGAGAAGAGAGACTACATGTAGGATATCGTTTAAACGTATCTCACAACCGCATCTGCTGGAACATCTGCTTTGACGAACTGCCGAGGCATTATATTTTTCGGCCTGTCCAAAAACATCTGTATTGATGGAAATAATTAATAGGACTGTGAAAAATCATTTTTGTGGCCAAAGGGTCTATTATTATACAATTTGGGGTGATAAATATTTAAAACGATTTTTATTAAAAAATAAATCACTCCTAAATACCGGAATTTTTATTTGTTGAAATTAAAAAAGTGATGTAAAACCGAAATTCATTTAATTTTCTTTTCTCTTCTGCAGATAACTTTGACATTATAAGATCTAGCTACTTAGTTTATGAATCATCAGATAAAAAATGACTTAAATTGCAGTTTATTTTCTGAACTAAATTAAATTAATTGACACATAAATCTTGCAAAATACTTTCTATAGGGTGATCCATTACTGTGAAAAGTCCCATTATATATATTAGAGATATAAAAAACAAACAGTTACAGAACGGTAGGCAGCATTAAACTCCATATTTTAAAATTATTTTTGAATATACAAGGTGTTCAATAACTTCAGTTTGGAACAAACCTTCGGTTTTTTTAAGAATCGCCTTGAATTCTATTTTATATTTGAATTACCCTTGCTTTTCTCATTATAACAATACTAAATAATATGGGATTGCACATGGTATTTCACAAGATATAATCAGTTTTATATGCTAAATATTTTGCTGTTATCCATTTCAAAAATTGATCTAAATAAATTTTATGGCAATTTAAGACCTAACATGTCCTACACCAACATTTTGTAACAAGTCTGTCCTGGAACTGCTATTTTGTTTGTTATTCATCACTAGCGGTATCAGCACAGCCATCTGAGACTCTCATGATATGTATTTAGAATATTGGTCACAATTTCATAAAATGGTCAAGTAAAATGGTTTAAGGATTATTATTGAAAAAAATAAAACTTATATATTGTCTCTTATGCTTTATCTTTATATATTACATTAAGGACAACTAAAAAGTTTTTGGGATTACACATTGATAGTAATCTCCGTTGGACGGATCATATTAACTCAGTAAATAAAAACGAAACCAATCTTTTGGTGCAATATCAAGATTAAGAAAAATTGTATTTATTATTTGTAGTGTAGTATAGCCTTGTTTATAGGCACAACTTATAATAATAAACTATTTGTTACTCAGAAAAAAATTCTTTGAAAAATATGTTTTAAGGATCAAAGAGAAAGTTGTAAATCAGTTTTTATTATAAATAACATTGTCCTCTCACTTGATAGATATTTATCAGTCTTCTTTATGTAAAACAACATATGAACTCATTTCAGTTAAATTCCGTTAATTGCCCTTATTTAACTAGAAAATCAGATAATATAAGAACTCTTTAGGGTTCGGGGATGGTCTTAATAATTCGTAGGGGGATTTTTGAGATTTAATTTCGAATTTTCAAAATTATAATACAATAATTTCCCTACATAAAGTACAGTTTCAGATATATGGGTATTAAACTCTGTAATAAGTAGATAATAAAAATGTTATTGTTAAATTCTCCTCTCTTAAATTAACCTCCTAATCAGTGATCAGATAATTTCTTTATACAAGCCCCCAAATCGAAGAGAATCACCCAAAGAAAAATGATACTCAATCTGACTCAAATACTTATTATTACCATCAAAAAAATCACACTGACATCGGTTTTCAAAGGTAACTAATAATACTTTTAATAGAAACTAAATAAGTGAATAGTATACATTTTCTTCAGACTCCCACCTTAAGTCACTGAAATGAGTAAGTGAATCAACGGAAAACTAAATTAAAATGCTTATCATTGGGTGCATTTATTTCTGGAAGTGAAATTGTATCTTGAAATGCACCATTCTGTAATTTTTTATTGGAAAGTAACGATTCTTTTTCTTTAGATTTAACTTTAACTAATCCGCAGCTGAGTTCATATCTCTTTCCAGTGAATAATTTGCCCTAAATATCTGCACCAACTAAAATATCTATTGAGCCATCTACAGTGTCTAACATATCTACTCCAAATGAACGAAGTTCATCGATCCAAGGGCCATTTTTAATGCAGGGAATATTATTACAAATTATTTGTTGGTCTAGAGCTTCAAAATTACAGATATATTTGTCATTAAAACTGCTTACACGAATTCTGTAGCATGTATGAGATACTGTTTGGGTTATTGTTCCACCAAACAACGAGTGAACCATCTGCTCGATTCTTAAAGGACTATATTCCATCTTAGCAATAGCGCATTTACTAATATAAGACCTTTGGGATCCTGTATCAAATATTAGTTTAGAGTATCGATTTTTATTAACTCCAATCAATTTAACCTTTAAAGTTTGTAGAAATACATGAGTAAAGGTACTGTTGGAAAGTAAATTTTCTATTTGTACAGGAACAGACCTTTGTGTTGTATCGGAGTCTTTCTGGTATATAATATGATTGTGTCTACCATTACATTTAGAACACTTTACTCGAACTCGACACTTCTTAGATATATGTGCTTTTTCACAAAAAATGCAACACTTCTCATTTAGGTGGACTAGGGCACTAGCAGAAGGTACCATATTTTTATCAATAGAAGTATCTTTCTTCTTGTAAATTTTAAAACCAGTGACAACCATGTTGTATTTTTCTTCGTTATTGACCTCTTTTTTAAGAAATGACATTAAATTTTCTAAGCAATCTCTAAGTGATAGTTCTTCGTTATAATAACTGCTTCTTTGCCAGACTTTAAGCAGATCATTGGGGAGGCACGATTCAACTAACGGATATAACGTTGCTGAACAAGTTTCTGTATTTAAATCCAACGTTTCTAATGATCTAAGCTGACATTCTATCTTATCAAACAAATAACTTACTTTCCTTTACTATTTAAGTTATTTAAAACAAGTTTCAGCAACTCTCTCACATAATATTCTTCTAGATCTTTTCATCTACTTCTATGGGTTTATAAAGCTTTAGGATAATTGGCTGCGGTTGGTGGGAAACTTTCGACTATTTGTCGAGCTCTAGAATTAGGAATTGTAGAATGTACTAAATAATAAAATTTATCTTCATTTGCCATTTCAGAGTTGCTGTCGATTCGTTGAAATTGACCTCAAAAATGAAGCCAATCTTTAATATCGCCTCAAAATTTCCTCATCTCAATCTTGGGTAATTTCATTTTCTGTTTACATTGACTGTGGTTAGGAAATTCAGATTGAACACTTCTGTTGTCTTTTTTAAATAGCAAACTTTCAACCATCAGGCGTAGACTGTGAAATTTGTTAACATAGGTGTCAGCTAATGCTATTTCAGAATCAATGGAATCTGTATCTTTATCAGAGCTTAGGAGATGTTCTACTAGTTGTTTATTGAGATCACTAAATCGAAGGGAATACCCAAAGAAAAATGATACTCAATCTGACTCTGACATCGGTTTTCAAAGGTAACTTATAATAATTTTAATTAAAACTAAATAAGTGAATAGTATACATTTTCTTTCGTTATTATCAATAAAGGTATTTTTTGAAAATCATTTCATAGGTACCTCTTCGACACCCAACTTTATAATTTTCTATCTTATTGTAATTCGTGTATGATTTATTTTTAATTTTGTGGTGATTTTGTATTTTAATTAGTTGTTAAACGTTTTATCTTTCTTATTAATGAAACTTGACTCCTATACATATATAATTATGTCATACGGGATTAATAAAGATTATGATGGATCGCACTGTATATTAATTTTTGTAGCGCACGTTCTTAATTGCAGATGATCAATCCAAAGAAGAATTTGTGCTGTATCTTATCAAATATCAAAGCATGGTTTATAGTTAACAGAATAAAATTGAATCCCATAGCATTAGCAGAGGACACTGTGACTAGTTTAATGAGAATAGAGTTCATTTAACAATTCTCTTCATCGTTTTACGTAACCTTCCATTAATTAATGTAATTATAGAGACAAAAGTGATGCAATCAACATTTTTTTCTCTATACAAGCCATTGAGAACGTGGCCCGAAGGTAAAACACTACAAAAGTTAATTATAGACTAAGTTAACGCTGGTCGAGGTTCGAACTCGGTGATTTCGTCTAAAGCGACATATGACAAATGGATGTGAGATACGTGAGATGTGAGAGATGCGGTCGCCTCTCTTCTACTCCGTTCGTATTTTGTATCGCCCAGCTCGACTCAACTCAACTCGCTTCATATCTTTGACATTGGCTGATCTCTGCTTTATTGGAAAACTCTAACCTGAACGCGGACGCGGACGTGAGGCTAAATTATACTTGACCAGTGGCGGGTACAGATATAGAATGCTACGCTACTTGACTTTTCAAGCACGACAAAGTAACCATTTCATATTTTATAAATATAACCTCAAAAATACTTTTATTTATCTTGCTTTAAAGAAGTTTTTCTGGAACAATCGTTAAATTGACACACACACTTCCAATTTATTAAAGGCAGTTCTTAATTAAACTAATTTTTTTTTAAATGAGCACAATTAAAATAGTCTTATCAGGTTTTATTTAGATTGTTTCATAGAGAAATGAGAGTTTCCGCAGATAATAGTTTGTTTGGTTTGGAACAATGTTGCCAGAATATCTTTTTGTTATGTACCAGATTTGTCTAAAAAATGTACCAGATTCCTTAAATGTACCAGATTTTTCGAATTCTATTTGCAGTGACATCTAATTCATTGAAGAGCAAAAAAAGGGGTCTTTATAGATAATGAACACAAACAAGGAACACAATATATTTTACACGTGAACACTGCTGCACGCCGGGAAAGAAAAAGTACTAGATTTTGCTTCGAGTGTCCTAGAGTACCAGATTCTTCGAGAATGTACTACATCTAGTACAATTGTACTTTTTCTGCTTGTTTTATTATACCATATTTTCTCAGATTTTTGACAAAATTAATCATATTTGTTAAAAATACTCATATCCTTTTCTTAAAATAATATGGATCGTAGAAAAATGTTTGTATACAATTCAAAAGATCACTTTACCTTCGTAATACACAAATAGCTATTTTATTATCGGCATATTGTCTTTGCTGTTGTTGATTACAGACTACACCACTGTTTTACTAATATAACATTCTGTTCTTTCAACAACTTGTTTACTCCTTTGATAAAGATTTCTATGACGAAGGCGTCATTTTTTTTACGAGATAATGGATTTCGATTTACACGAATCTAATTATTAGAAATAATAACTGTCATTCATGGTAACGACGTCGCTAGAATTTAGAATTAGTTAAGAATGAGAGAAAAATAATAGCGATTATTAAATAATTTTTTTATTTAATTTATTGTTTGGGACCTTGGCAAGTTGTGCATTGAATTCATTTGTACTTGAATGCTCATTTAAATAAATAGCAGCGTGAAGATCGTATCTTATAAACAATCAAGTTTGGTCCAATAAAATGTACTTTAGATCTTTATAGTCGCCATATCTCAATCCATGATCTGGCATTTTTTTATTGAGCTATATATTGCACTTGATCTAAAACGATCTATTAGCAATCAATTAAAGCCTTAAAACTAAATCACCTATTAAGCGTCTCTCAGGTACTATTTTTTTGGTTTACTTCTTCTTTGTTTGTGCTAACTTACCTGAAGGTTTTTTTTTCTTTAGTTTTCTTTCTAATTCGTGATGGCCAAGGATCTGAAACATATCGATGTTGACAAACGTAGCGGTTTTGACATTAATCATTTCTGATATATCGTAGGTATCGTTCAAGGATGCTTCCTTGTAGTACTCCTGCTTTAGTTTGTTTTAACTCAGAGTTTTACTCTTCTTCACTGTAAAATCTATCTGTATTATGTACGATTCTAGAACAATAAATTGAAAAAGAGTCTCAGGAATGGTGGAACAACTATCCAAGACTGAGACAGACTTAACAGCTTATCAAGAAACCATTGGCCAAGTTGACGAAAGAGCTACTGGATCAAAAACGTCAAATCGTTAGTAGTAGATCTTCTTACCGGACATTGTCGCCTAAGAAGGCGCATGAGTGTCATCAATCCAGCAAAAGAAGCCGCTTTGTACAGGTTGTGTGAAGAAGAAGAAGAGGAAACATCAATCAACGTCCTGTGCCAGTCTAAAGGCCTGGCTAGATTGAGGTTTTTAACATTAGGCGAAGTAACGCCAAACGCATGAAACGAAAAACACAAAACAGTCAATAATAATTATTAAAACCAGTAGGTGCACGGTACAACTAATAATTCAACAAGTGTTCCAACTCGTATTTATTTTTGTAACGTCAAGAAACCAAACGAAATCAGCGCCTTCGCATTCAACTTATCCAAATATTTTGTGATCGTTTAAAAATTATTGAAAAATAATTCATTGTAACAAACGTTTTGTTAAGTAATAGTTCGAGTTTTTATTGTGATGAGATATAAGATATTTAAATAAATAGGGTGAAAATGGGGAAAGTCGAAAGACAAAGACCGTGAGGTGGAGGATTCTTAAAACCCATAGAAAGAAGTTTTCTTTTGAAAAGAGTAGTGAACCGCCAAATGTGAAACGTATAACCATAAAGCGGTGGCAAGTCAGAGTGTCAGCTCGAGCATCCTATGCCTGTCCTATCCCGTATCGCGGTTTCATGAATAATTCCTCACATATTTACAGGGCTGTCAAGTGGCCCTTTGTCATGCAAAATTCTGTCGCAACGTCATTTTCACTCGGCAAAACGTGAAACCGAAAAATATCGCATGAAATTTGAACACAATCAGATGCAAATTTAATGGTATCAGAATTCTGGAACCGCTTCTCAAACCAGTGACGTTGACTCTACAGTCGAACTTTCACTGTATGAACGTTTCTCCATCGATTAGACCTTATCATTTATATTATATTCCTTTGTACATTTTAGATATATAAATAGATTTTGCAACCTGCTGTAAATCTCTCTGAAGAAAAATCAATTCTAATTTTGTACTGTTTAATCGTTGTTCCAACAGATTCCATAAGAAAATATTAAATATTAAAATTATAATAGAGTCTACAATAAAACTCGTATCCCACGTGATCAAATAGGCAAATCACAAATTGGTGAATAATGCTAAAGTAAAAAATCACTAGAAGTATTGTATTGGTATATTTTTATGTTAGATTTGTTCGTATATAAAAAGTGTAAAAATCTCCATTGAATTTTGAATACGATACTTAACCTTAAAAAACTGAATTGCTTCTTCTTCTTCTTTTTTTTTTTTGGGCTGTGTCCATGAGACAATATACCCAGCTAGCTCTTGAGGGACTGTTTTAAGTCTTGCTCGAGGCAATTAAACAATCCCTAATTTCATTTCATTTAACTTAAGGTGGCATTCAATTTTCAAATAATCTTCGGAAAACTTTTTTTCGTTTTTCACTTTTCTTTTAAGGGTTTGGTAATTAGTAAAGGTAAACAATACAACAAAGGAATTAATTATCGCTTAGGGATAGCAGCTAAGCATTACACATACCCAGAAATGCTACCAACGGTAAAAGTAAGAGCATCCAGGACTAAAAAGAAAGGAAATTAGGGTGATTTGGTTTTATAGGTTAATTTTAACAATATTGAGGAA